ACACACACACACACACACACACACACACACACACACACACACACACACACACACGCGGAGCTTGGCTTCTTTCCTGCCAAGATAAGAAAGAATCTGTCCCGAGCTAGGCTTTTTTGACCAAGGGGAACCTTCTCAATATGAAACCCTTGACCCCACAGCCATCGGTGGCCGCCCACTGTCTCTGCTTGGCCACATTCTGACTGCTAGTACTCCCTGCTCTGTAAGCAGAGAGAACGCCAGGCTGGAGGGAGAGGTGGGAGAGGGAGGAGGAGGGACCAGGACCCTCTATTCAGGAGGTTAGACAGACGTGCATTTAGCTCGTAGCCGCGTGCCAAGAAAGACACGCATCAACTCAGCATGCAGGTAACATCGGGAAGCGAGCAGGCGGGCGTGCAGGAAGGAAGACGAACGCAGTGTCCTCTGGTGTGGGGGATGGCCTGTCTCCCAGACGTCCTCACCACGAGCTTCCTCACCACTCCTGAGAAGCCAGAGAGCGCTGGAAGGAGGAAAGGAGATGAAGGGTTGCCAAGGGCCCACCACGTGCCAGGTCCTGGGCTAAGCCTCTCAATGCCTCGGATCTCAGATTATCTCACAACAAGCCGGGGAGGTAGAGGCTATTATTACCCCCACTTTCCATTAGAGGAAACTGAGGAAGGAAGAAGTTAGTGATTTGCAGAGGGTCCCACAAGCTGGTAAGAGTCTGGGGCTTTGGAGACTGGGCCCCTGAAGCTACATACAGAGAGAGTCCACAGTAGAAGTTCAATTCAATGTCGAGGTGAAGAGTGGGGGAAGGTCCCACTCCCAGAACACCCTGTGGCCCCTGTGGCACTTTGGGCATCCAGTACCCAGACAACATGGGCTTCCTTCTGCCTCCCACCTGGGGTCTCCAGGGATTGGGCAGCCTGGGGCGGGTGGGGTCCAGAGAAACAAGAGTCAGGGATGGGCAGGGCCCAGAATCCTCTTGGCCAAGATAAGACCATCCTGGTCGTGAGTGGGCCAAGGGCTCCAGGCTCCCCGCTGGGCTTGTCTGTTTCTTAGGCTGGAGCAGAGTGGCAGAGAGCCAGGTGTACCCACCTTCATCCTTGAACACAGGCTTTGCGACATTCCTGTTCACTGTTGAACCGGTTGCCGGTGCCGCCGCAGCCACTGTACCAGAAGCGGGCACACGCGTCCACCTCCTTATCATAATACCACCGGACAACATACTCCCCACAGTCTCCGGGTCTCAGGGCCTCCAGGCACCGGGGATCTAGGGGGGCCCCCGAAACGCGGCATGTTAGCTTTGAGTTTCCTCTATAGACCAGGGGATAGAGGCAGGTCATTGTCTGGGTTCTCGGAAGAGCTGGAGGAAGCGGCTTGGCTCTTAGTAGGGGGTTTAAAAGGCTGAAGACAGGGATGGGGCACCAGGAGAGCATGAGCTAGACCCCAAGTGGGTCAGCCCCTTCGTTAGCTTAGCAAAGGCGGCGAGGGCTTGCCGCACACATGAGCACAGAGTGAGTGCGTGGGGTGTGCTCACGCTGAAAGGGTGTGGAGCGTGACCTGGGTTTGAGTCTGATCCCGGCGTTTATCTGCTAGCTGTGTGATTCTGAGTAAGTTGCCCCACTTCTCTATGGCTCATCTTCCACCTCCATAAATAATGCCAACTAATCACAATATCTACATGCTCTGCCTCACAGAGGGTGAATAAGGAAAGCCCTTAGATCATTATAGAACTGGAGAAAACACTGATTAAGGTCTTCCTAAGGGCCAAGGCATTATCTTGGAATTGGGGTCCAGGAAAAAAGCGTTTATTAAGCACCTACTGTGTGTCAGGCACTGTGCTATGCACTTTACATTATTACCTCATTTGACCCCCAAAACATTCCTGGGAGGCAGTGTTATTATTACCTTCATTTACAGTTGAGGAATTGGAGTCAGATAGAGATTAAGTGACTTGCCCAGGGCCATACAGCCAGTAAGTATCTGAAGCCACATTTGAACTCAGGTCTTCCTAATTGCAGGCCCAGCGCTCTATCCGTTGTATCATCTGGCTGGGGTCAGAGTTAAGAGTCTGGGAGGGTTAGGGTTCAAATAGGGTCCAATAGAGGCAGTTTTCTGCAATTGAATACAATGGGTGGGATGTCTGGGGAAGCATCTTTGGGACAATTCCAGGAGGGCCCAAGGAAATAGGCCCCTCATCCCCTTCTCACCTGGTTCCGATTTCTTCTGCTGAGTCTCTATACTTGGGAGGGCTTTTCCTTTCATATAAATGGGAGTCAATATTATGAGTCAATACTCTATAGAGGGAAATCTATCAAAGACAGCTTCTAAATGTGTTAGGGTCTAATGAGGTGTCCACATAACTGTGGGACATTAGCAGTCTTGTCCGGGCTGCTGTCATCCCACTGTGGTTTATTTATGGGGTTAGAATTAAGGGTTCACTTTTGTAGCACAGGGACTCCAGGAGTTTTTACCTTCTCCACCCTCTGCCTTGCCATCTACCAACCCTCTTCTTTCTCTTCGACAAAAGTATTCCTCTTTCCACAGCTGTCTTGGCCTGATAGGCCTTCTAGGTTTTCATTTGGAAATTTCCAATTCTACTCTAATGCTCCAAAAGTGCATAGGAAGATTACTGTGTTTAAGATGTCTGTCTGAGGCCTGGGGCCAGCCACCCCAGATCACCCCAACCTCCGTCTGCAAAGCCAGGAAGGGGGAAGTCCTCCTCACGCCTCTTCAGTCCCTGCTTTGAGAGGAGGAGGAGGATGGGGACAAGAAATGCCCCACAGTGGTGGGGAATGTTTGCAAAGGTGACCCAGTGGGACTGTCTAGGAGGCAGCTCCTTCCTGAGGGAGACAGGAATGAACCTGGTTCAGAGCGCACCCTAACAATGGCCATGACAATGGTCATGACGATATTGTGCTGACCTTCCCGCGGGATGGGGCAGGGGGCCTGCCAGCCCCGTTCTCTGGGAGCCCCTGTTCTGCATCATCCCACAGACAGGACGCTGAAGCAGAGCGGCGTCCCAAGGGTCCGAGAGCCAGCCGTGGGTGGAGCCGGCCCCCGTGTCTGTCCTTCAAAGACCCCAGGACCGCCTTCTCTATTGCTCTCACTCCCCCCACCTGGAGGCCAAGGCAATCTCGCTGACAATGAGAGCTGTCCCAAGGGGCTAGATGGGGTCTCCTCCCTGGGGTTTTCCAAGAGAGGCCGGATGCCCTTATGTTGGCGACGCTGTTCACACCGGGCCTGGACCAGGTGGCTTCGGAGAGATTCTGGGGTTCTGGGAACCAGGCGCCAGGTGTCCTAACCTCTTGGCCCCAACCCAAGCCCCAGCCCATACACGCAGAAACCAGAAGATGGCGGCCTGCTCATCCCACTAAGAGAGGAGAGGTGAATGCGCTGCTCCCCGTCCCGGTCCCGTTCAGGCTGAGACACTTGAGAACATTTGCGGGTCTAGACGTCATTGCTTGTTTTGTAGATGAGGAAAGGGCGGAGCCCATGACTAGTCACCCGCCTCACCTCGACGTGCAGTCTTGGCAGTGGGTGTGACAAAAACGGGCTGACGGGTGCTGGTGTCCCCCTCCTGCGTCCTGCCACCATCCGAGGGGCCGATTGACCGTCTGGGATCCACAGCCGCGTTGCTTGGCGTCGTCACAGTGGGGACTCCACTCCTGAGGGACGGGAAAGGTCCGGGTCCTTCGTCCAGGGCTCCTGGAGGACTGAGCTACAGGAAAACTGAGTCAGTCCTGATGCTCCTTACTCCAGGGAGCTCTCACATGCTTGAATGCCTCTGTCCTTGGTACCTCTCCCTGCAGACCACCGCCACCACCTTGACCATCATCTCCCCTCAAACCCTGGGTGAGAGAGCCCAGAGCCCTAGACCCAAGAGACCGGCACTCCCTAGACCACTGGCTCTGCTTCCGGCCCAGCCCTGAAGCCACTGTCCAGTGCTGTCACACCCCTCCCCACGACAGTCAGAGCTGCTGAAGACCCAGGAAAGAAAGTCCTTGGCTCCATGATGTGGCTTCAGCAGGAGAGCTGGTATGTCTCTAATCAGAGGCAGCTCAACAGATGGAGTGTTGGACCTGGAGTCAGGAAGACCAGAGTTCAAATCCAGCCTCAGACACTAACTTTGTGACCCTGAGCAAGTGACTGAATCTCTGTTTGCCTCAATCCACTGGAGAAGGAAATGGCAAACCTATCTTGGCCAAGAAAACCCCATGAATGGTAGGGTCCAGAAAATTTAGTGTGTACTTCTAATAGAATTTGTTGTTGTTGTAGTTAAGTCATTTTTAGTTGTGTCTGACTCTTTGTGGCCCCATTTGGGGTTTTCTTGGCAAAGATAATGAAGTAGTTTGCCGTTTCCTTCTTGAGCTCATTTTACAGATCAGGAAACTGAGGCAAACAGGGTCCAGTGACTTGCCCAGGGTGACATAGCTAATAACTGTCTGAGGCCAGATTTGAACTCAGGTTTTCGTACTCTGGGCCCTGTGCGCTATCCACTGAGCCACCTAGCTGCCCGATTTAATAGAGTGTTAGCATTTCAAAAACGCTTTAAAATGAGCATTGGGTGCGACAGGGGTCTATGTGACCATCTGCTGCTGTTGTCACAAGCGAAAATGCTCAAAGACCAGCAACCAAAGGGAGACCGGCCGGGCCAAGCACAGGCCGCAGACAGGATGGGACATCTACGGCCCGCGAGCGAGGACAAGCCTGGGAAGGGGTCTCTGAACAGACGCAAAAGGAGGTCGGCAGCACCGGGAAGACAATCGTGCTCCCTTCTGTGAACAGACGGCGGTGTGCAAAATGGTGCGTGCGCTCAGACCCAGTGGACGCACTGGTTCATCGTGCACTTGCTGCTGTCCTCTCTCCTTTTCGTCCTTCTTCACAAGGGCTACGTCTCTGGGGAGCGGAGGGATAGGGATGAACTTGTAAAGGAAAGTGATGTAGAGATGAACGGATCAGTAAAAAGAATTTCAGATGAAATGCTTAGTAAGAGCTCAAAATCTCAACCCTGCTGGGCTCCCCCTTCCTCCACCTCCACGCTGAGTCTAACCTGACCATCAGAGGCAGGGAGGTGCTCACGAGAGACACAGTTCAAGGAAGGGCCAGTGATGAAGCCTTTGGACTTGCAATTCTAGGCAGGAACGCACAAAGTGTAGGTAATGGGCAGGGTGAGCTAGAGATACTAAAACACCAAAGTCCTGTTTGATCTTATAGGTATCACCCAGATCGGGGAGGGGCGGGGAATGAGGCAAATGGTCGGCACGTGGTCCTGGGAGCCTGCACCTTATAAAAGAAATAGGACAGGTGCATGGGAAGAGGGGAGGGCAGCATATGTTTGTGAAGAAGACCTCTTCATGTCAAGAAATCCAGGGCCCAGAATCATGTGGAGATGAGCAGGATGTAGCCACAACCTACCGCACAAAAGACCCCCGGGACAGATGGAGGCAATGTAAGAGTAGCTGAGGAAACACAGCCTCCACAAGCCCAGAGGTTCCAGGCTGTGGCCGTGATGGGACCGTGGCCGTCTTCTGCCGGATTTGATTCTCAGCATGAATTTGAAAGAGGCGGCAGCTCCAGAAGCAGCGATGGGATCCTTGCCAGGGAGCCCCTGTGCCATGCGGAGTTTGTGAGAGAGGAGAAGAGGGAAGCTGGGCATGGGCAGAGGCAGCCCAAGACTGTGGAAAAATCCACTTCCGAGGGAACATAAGTGGAGCGCGGCGAGCGCTCAATTCCTGCCAGGGAAGTCTGGGCAGGGGGAAGCTCCCCAGAATGACCTTCTCGAGACACAAAGAGGATGATTCCAAATAGGGATCATCTGAAAGGACGATATGGGCACACAGGGAGCTCAATGAACTGAACTTTGAAAAGAACAAACCCCAGAAATGCAAGCAGAGGCCCAGAGAGCCAGGGACGCCTGTGTCACCATCCGCCCACCAAATGTCATTACCCAGAACATGTGGGCACACATTCCATGCAGACGAGACCTGGCCTCATGTGCCCATGGCTATGGCTAGGGGTGGGGACGGGGTGTGCAGACTGCCAGGGGACTCTATGCCTTTCATCCTAGGGGGTGTCTGCCCTGACCGACCGCACCCCTACGCTCAGCCTTGAGACACTCGGCCCGTCCCCATACCCCGCATCTGGCGGCCTTCACTCTGCAATGGCTTTTAGGCTCTTCATCTGGCCCCCTAGTCGTAGCCATTCAGCTATGGTCCAGAGGTCCAGAGCCCTGCTGCAGAGGACAAGGTCTCAGGAGACTTGGGGCTTGGCCCAGCTTTGCCCCAGTGGGCTGAGGAATCTTGGCCAAGTTGCTCTACTTTATCCTAGGGTCTCTTGCAGAGCTAAAGGACTGTGATTCTACAATAAGAAGACATAAGTCCACCCCACAGCTGGTTGGCAGCAGCCCCAGGACCCAGCTGGCTCTGGACGCCCAGCTCCAGACCGCTTTGCTGGCCAGTGCTGCTGGTCAGTCCTTCCCCATGGCTAAAGGGGGAAAGGAGAGGAGCAGGGATTCCTCCCCCCTCCGCTGCCAAGGGGACAGAGATGGTGTGCCCCTTCCCCCCTGCGCCCTGAGTCCCAACTGGGGGTCAGGCCAGGGCAGCAGCACCTCTGTGCTTGAGGTGGGAGGTCACCCAGACCTGGGCCACTCTGACCCATCATCCCTGATGGGAGGGGGAGCCCTGGCTGAGACAGACCACAAGGGATGGGGAGGAGAAGGTCCTGCCCCCCAGGCCGTTCTAGACCCATCAATAGTCCCCAAGGTCACCTCTCCAGGGAACAACTGCTCCATGCGATTGATACCACTGTCCCCCCCAGTGTTCGTGCACTGACCCCAGTGACTTCATGCAGGAAGTGACCCCACCCGTCTGTCTGTATGGGCAGATGGACCCGGTAAATCTGTCTGTTATGGCTGGTTCACTTTCCTTGCCAAGTGACCTGGGATCCTTTTCTTTCCTAAAGTGGGGCATTTGCCCCAGACAGCCACCTCCCCAAGTGCCCCCAAGACAAGAAATGTCCCCATCCTAAGCCCCATGATTGCCTGAGATCCCCATGAGGACAGGGGAACATGCAGACGCACATGTATGTTGTAGATACATATATAATCACAATAAAATCCTCATTATCTGAAGAAAACTTTCCATTAGCGCAATGCAGCTAACAACAGTTACACCCAAATTTGGGGGGAGGGGAGTTGATCTCCAAGCTCTGTCAAAGGGATCAGAGAGCCCACCTGCGCCCCCCAGTGGCCTTCTCTCTGCTGGTTCTTCCCCCTTTCTCCTCTCCAGATCTTGTCTGTATACAGGTGTTTGCCTGTTGTCTCCTCATTAGACCATGAGCTCCTTGAGGGCAGGGACTGGTTTTTGCCTTTCTTTGTGTCCCTAAAACTTAGTCCAGCACCTGGCACACAGTAGGTGCTTAAGGAATGCCAGTGACTGGCTGTCTGACTGATGTCTAAAATCCCCTCAGGGAACAAACCCTTGCATTCTAATATGAAATTTGCTTAGACTTGCAAGTTCTCTTGAGAAACTTGGCTCCACCAGAGGTGCCATTTGAGGGCTGTCAGCCCCCCTCACCTGAGAGGAGGCTTGCTGGGGAGAAGCCCGCGATCCCAAAGCAGGCAGAGGTGGGGACAAGCTGGGGATTGAGGTGGGTATTGAGAGCTCGGGCACTGTGGACCTTGCCAAGGACAGTCCTGGAGGAACTGGAAGTTTCTGGACAGCTCCCCTTCTTCCTGCTCATCAGAGTCCTTTCCCTCGGTGCTCCTTCTGGCCGACCTCCTTCTCCACGAGAATTTTAGATCCTGCCCTTCCTTTCCTGGAGCCCTCTGAAATCTGTTTTCCCAAACCCCTGGGACAGGTGAGTCACTTCCCAGCTTTGCTCCCAAACTCTTTCCCCTGCCCCCAGGTTCTTGTCATTTGCACCCCTGTCATGGCGTCCTCCCTTTTGGTCAGAACCCAGGCCGGAAGAGGACACGGCCCTTGCTGGTTCCTCCGGCTTCTGAAGGACGGACTTACTAAGGTGTGTCAGAGAGTCCTGAGCTGGGCTGCTCTGCACGGAGAGGGTCTGAGACGAGGGTCAGAGTTAGCACCTCTTCCCCAGGGTCCCTCACGCTCCCCATCAGGTCCCTGCTTGTCGCATCAGGAGTAAACAAGTACAGATGTTCCAGAAATAACAGCCTGGAGGCCCTCGCTTCCCTTTCCAGGAACTCATCTTGCAAACCCTGACTCCCTGATTGCTTCGTCTTTGGGGGCCACGGACACCAGGAGGCAGCACTGAGGAGGGGGCAGTCCTTGGGACCCCCACTACCTGGATGGTGGGCTTGCTTTTGCTCCCACAGATAAAAGCAGAAAGAAAAGAGTTTGTGAGGATCCTGGCCAGAGGCCTCGGGAGCCCCCCTAGGAGGCGCTGGACCAGGCTTGCTCTGACGCCCCAGCAAAGTCGTTCCACACAGAAGTGGCCCAGGATCCCTCAGAGAGAGCAGCCGCCTTGTGCTTTCACCATCTTACAGTGCACGTGGAGGCTCCCATTGGAACCAGTCTGATGCAACACATATTTATTAGTAGTGTATAAGCTTCCTGAGGGCAGGCACATTTTGTTCACTTGTATTCCAAGGCCTCACACAGGACAGGCAGATGGGAGAGGGGCAGGGGATGGACGGACATCCATGGGAGAGGTCTGGGAGCCAGAGGGCCCAGGAGATGAGAGGTGGAGAGGAAGTGTGGTGGGAGAGGGTCAGGATGCTTGGGAATGACGCCAGTGAGCTCATCTCACCGAGGCCGGGGCAGCCAGCCTGTGTGGGAGCAAGAATCCCCTTTGGGTATCCAGCCCTGGGCTGCTGTGTGACTGGGATCCTGCCTAAATACACCCCCTGCCTCATTTAATGTATTCACCACTTACACAATCAGAGGAAATGGACAGCTGTCACCCTTTTCACAGCAAGCACAGACAGAGCAGCTCAGAGCCAGGACCTCCCCCCAAGCAGCTGATGTACTGTGGCACCGGCTGTCTGGGATCCAGCTTTTATTGACTTGTGCATTGGGTAGAATGGAAGATCCCTGACGGCCAGGGCTGTCTCACGCTTTGCCTTCCTATAGGCAGCACCTATCATGGGGACTGGCACAGAGTCTGTGCTTAATAAATGCTTGCAATCATTTGGCATCTCAAGGTCTGCCAGCAGGCACTCCTCAGTCCGCCCAGGATAACCTCAGCAGAGCTCAGCTTTAAGGTATAGACAGAGTCAGTCAGTAACTAAGCAGGCACTATGCTAAGCACCAGGCATGCAATGAAAGGCAGATCCACAGTCCCTGCCTTCAAAGAGCTTCTGTTTTCCTGGAGGAGACACGGATAGAAGATAACTTTGGAGGGGAAGTGGGGAAGAGGGGCTGGCCTCTGAAGAAGGTGAGATTAGAAAACCACATCGCCTGCGATCTACATAGACTTAGCAGCACCACCCCAGAAGCCATGGAGCACAGCCCATTCATTTCTCCCGGAGGGGGAAACTGAGGCCAAGAAGTGACTTGCCCAGGATCACACAGGGAAGAGGCAGCAGGGTTGGGGTCTGGTCCTCCGCTAGGCGGGAAGGCTGGTTCCACGCCTTCTGGCTGGGAAGGTGCTGACTTACCAACTCGTTGCTCTCCTGCTCCTCCAGCTCCATGGGGGTGGCCACAGTTCCTCTTAGCTTAGTCCCAAATCCAGAATGAAGAACCGAGGAGCCCAGAATTTGGTCGAGGTAAGAGTTAAAGTCCTCACAGATTTTTTGGAGCAACTTGTCCTCCAGGGCTGCCAAGAGAAACAGGAGACTTGAGACATGAGACTGACCCACTGACGGTGCCTTCCACCTTCCTTCTAGGCCGAGTGCCTCAGACGGATGAAGGGGGAGGGAGGAAGTCCTCCCAATGACCTCTCCGGTCAAGAAGGCCTCCTTCCCAAGTGGCAGACTGCCTTGGCCCAGAAGGATGTGTGGAATGCCTGCCCTGGTGGCCAAGGGGTCTAGCTCCCCACCCCCACTTGTGGGCCCTGGACATCCACGACCCCCACAGCTCTGGCCTTTGTTTGGGATGAGATCTTCAGGACACTTTTCCTCAGGGACATGAGATATTCTGCTCACTCTATTTCAATAAAACACATTGCAACCCAATGTAGCTTATTCTATGCATTTCAAATGGAATTTCATTTATAGCAGTTCTTTTCTGGGGGCAAAGAATTAGAAACTGAGGGGATGTGCATCAGTCGGGGAATGGCTGCCCAAGCTGTGATACGTGGTTATGATGGAAAGCTATTGCACTATAAGAAATGACGAGCAGGATGCTCTCACAGGAATCGGGAAAGACTTGCATGCGCTGATACAAAGTGGCGTGTACTGTGTACAAAGTAACAGTAGCATTGTGCCATGATCCGCGTGAATGACTTGGCTCTTCTCAGCAATACAATGGTCCCAGACAATCCTGAAGGACTTATGATGAAAAATGCTATCCACGCCCAGAGACAGAACTGATGGGGTCTGGATACAGATCGAAGCACGTTTTGTTTTGTTTTTTTACTTTCTTTGTTTTTCTTGAGTTTTTTTTTTTTTAGTCTGTGTTTTCTTTCACAACATGACTGTTATAGAAATGTTTTGCATGACTACACATGTATAACCTATATTAAATCATCTGCCTTCTCAATGAGGGGGGTGGGGAGGGAGAAAGGGGGAGAATTTGAAGCTCAAAGTTTTAAAAATGAATGTTAAAAATGGTTTTTTACATGTAATGGGGAAAAATAAAATACTAAATAAAGAAGGATTTTGAGAAGGGGTTGTCTGTAGGCGTCACCAGACTGCCCAAGGGACCCACGGCACAGAAAAGGTGAGGAACCCCGGGCATTGCTTAAGCTGGGACAAACTGATGACCGCTGGGCTCCAAGGAGAAGCAGATGCCACGAGGGGGCTTTGACGTGTGTGTGGCAGGGATGGGGGGACACAGGGAAAGGAGAAGGTTCAGGCCTTGGACCCCTGCTGAGGGAAGACACCCCAAACAGGATCACTGGTGGGGTGAGGAATAGGGCTGAAAACAGCCTCAGCTGCATGGATTCCTGAATAAAAAACACTTGATGTTAAACCGACAAGGTGGCCCCCTATGCCATCTGGTAGCTCAGTGGATGGAGTGCCAGCCCCAGAGTCGGGAAGGCCTGAGTTCAAATCCAGACTCTGATACTTCCTGGCTGTGTGGCCCTGGACAAGTCACTTCACCTGTTTGCCTCCATTTTTTCAGCTGGAAAATGGAGATATAATCAATGCCCCAGGGTTGTTGTGAGGACCAGACTCTGAGAAGGCTTTCAGTGCCCAGAGAGGAGACAGCACTTCCTTAGCCAAGGCTACATCCCAGCTAGGAGCAAATCTGGCCCCAGAATCATGAGGAACTTTCTTTTCAGGCTCCCTCCAGCCCCAGCCTCAAGGACTGTCCATTCTCCCAGGACCTTCCCCAGGCCACGGGCCACGGACTGTGGCTGTAAATTTTTCTTGGTTCCCTCCTCTTAGAGTCTGGGCGGTGTTGGTGACATCCGACGCTGGCCCAAAGGCAGCTCACCTGACCTCACCTTGCAGGCAGACGTCCAGGTGAGAGCCTCCTGTCTGATACTAGGGTGGGCAGGTAGCTAGGAAGTGTGGCTTTGGTCTCCCAGAGTGGGCGGCTCAGCCTGTCATCTATGGGCATGGTTGGCTCAGGGGCCCGGGCAGGGCACGCTTTGTTTGACGTGAGTGGCCGGCGTGGACCTTTGTCCAGCTGTTTCCCCAGAGTTCACCGGGGTTTTGTGGTCTTTTGTGCCCAGGGACTCTTCCTTACTTCCTCCCTCCCTCCCTCCCAGGTGTGTAGGGAGGCTGTGTACTGTGATGGGAAGTCAGGAGACCTGAACCTGAGGGGGAGACTAGCTATGTGACCTTGGCTGAGTGTCTGCCCCTCAGTACCACCTGTGACTCTCACTGGGTTTGTCAGCTCGTCTCTGGAGCCCAGAGTGTGAGACGGTCCTTGTCCTTTGGAAGTCCTGTCCACTCCCTGCTGGGCAGGCATGGCACAGCCCGCTCCAGGGAGGCCCTGGCATCATGTTTCCTCTGTTGGCTCAACAGGCCCCGGGGGTGAATGAGGAGGGGCCCTGTCAGTGCTCCCGGGGCTGGCAATGGCCCAAGCTAAGCTAAAGCAAGGTGCCTCCCAATGTGCCCACACAGATGACAGGTTGGCTCAGGGCATGGCCCCGAGTACAGCCAGCACCAGGAGCTACAGAGTTTAATCACACCCCTGAGCTAGATGGCCAAAGACAGGGAAAGGCTTCAGGCCTGGCAGCCTTGGGTGTGGCCCTTGTGCAGGTGGAGGAGGGCCCTGGTCCTGCTTGGCACCAGAGGCCAGGGCTAGGAGCTCTGGGGGAAGGTACAAGGTGATAACATCAGCTCCTTTCAAGGCAAAGTGGAATCGGCTGCCTTTGGAGGTAATGAGTTTCCCATCTCTGGGAGTCTTTAGAAAATGGTTACATGACAAGCACTTATTAATCCCCTACTGTATACCAGGCCCCATGCGGGGTACTGGTGCTGCAAAGGCAAGAACTAAGCAGTGCCTGTCCCTAAGGAGCTTCCAGGCCTCTCTCCTGGCTTTCCCAACTCCCTCCTAGGCAGGGAACTCCTTGGGGATCCATGGGCATGCCTCTCTGACTGGGGCAGTGGGGAGAAGATGGGGTGCAGGCTTGGGCTCCCCTTACCTGGGAGGGTTAGGAAGTCATCGATCCGGTAGACATGCTCACTGTCAGGGTCTGTGGCAATCAGGTCCATTTCCAGACGGAAGACCTCAAAGTTGGGGTCACTCTCCTTCAGCACGCCAACCACAAAGACCTCCACACTGGAGGCGTTGGCCGTCCTCACCACCTGCTCCAGGTTCATCTCATCACGGGTGTCGGCCTGCCCATCAGTGATGACCAAGGCCACCTTCCTCACCGAAGGCCTGGCAGACTGGAACATGGCGGTGGCCGCGTGCAGCGCAGAAGCCGTGTAGGTGCCTTCGCCCAGGTACGGCATGGCATCCACTGTGCTCCAGAGGCGGTCCTTGCCTGAGAAGTGCCTGAGGTCGGCCACCACCTCCACCTTGTGACTGTAGTTGATGAGGCCCATGCGGGCACTAGCGTGCTCCATGGCCACGCGGTCAATGAGCTTCTTGACAAAGTCTTTGACGAGCTGGAAGTTCTCCGGCCCCACACTCTCAGAGCTGTCAATTACAAACACCAGCTCCAGGGGGCTCTCCCTGCACTTGGCCCCACAACCTGCAAGACGAGGATGGTACACGTGAGTCTCCTGGGTGGCTGGGAGAGAGAGCCCTCAGGACCCCCGGCCCTGGGAGCCCAGAACTGCCCCCCACCCCCAGCCCGCCAAGCCTCTGGCTCTGGGCGTTGCCGGAAGGTGCAGCCCAGAGTTCCCTGGCTAGCTGAGCCTCTGGCCCTGGGCTGGATGCTGCCCGATGGTGCAGCCCTGAGCCCTGGGAGCCCAGCCCCCCCACCACCTCAGCTGACCGAGCCTGAGGATGCAGCTCAGAGAGGCTGTGAAAGAGGACCGCAGGGCAGGACAGTGAGGGTGGGACCCGGAACAAAGGATGAGGGGCAAGGCCCAGGCTGCTCCCTGTCCACCCCCCAACACATTCCCTACTACAGGGCGTGGCACCCCTGCGGGCTCAGCTGGGCTCAATCCCAGGGCCTCTAGCCACTTTCTGCCAGGGGAGCCCCAGGCTCTGGGCCCAGCCCTAGGGCAGTCTTGTGGGCTAGGGAGGAATCTATCCACACTCTTGTTAACAAGACTAACAGCTACTATTCAAATGAGGTTCTAAGTGCCAGGCACAAGGGCTGAGCCTTCGACAGCTCTCCTATGATCTGATCCTCACAACAACCCTGGGACCCTGGGTGTTATTATCATCCCCATTTTACAGAGGAGGAAACAGAAGCAGACAAGGGTTAAGTGACTTGCTCAGGGACACAGCTAGTAACTATCTGAGGCCGGATTTGAACTCAGGTCTTCCTGACTCCAGGCCCAGTGCTCTATTCCACCAACAGCTGCTTATGTGAATATCTGAAAATAAGTTATCATTTCCTTCCCCATTTCAAATCTTACCACATATTTCAATAATCAGTTTGATAATTTCTTCTCTCTGGAAGGAAAGAAAAGAGAAAACAATCACTTGTTCCAAATGTACAGACACAGCTCAGCCAGGAGCTATCAGTCACCTCTAATACAGGCCTGAGCATCTGTGCACACGTGTGTGCATGTACTTGTGTTATGTGTACAGTGCGTTGTGTGCATGCACACATGTGTTATATGCACACACATGCTGTACACGTACAGTGTTGCTAGCACGCACATGTTACGTCCGTATGTGCACGTGTGCTGTGTGTGCGTGTACACGGGTCCCCTGGCAATCTCACCACATCATGAGCCCATCAGAGCCCTGCCCATCAGTCCCGGCGCTGTCCTCATGCCATTCATCTGAGGCCATGGTCTCTGGGGATCTTGCCGCCCTCCCCAGGCTTCCACAGTTCCCAGGCCTGGTGTGCTGGGGGGGGGGGGGCTGGTGAGGCGTACTTGAGTGGCTGTCAATCAAGCTGTAGTCCCTGTGCTATTCTCCAGGTCAGACTTGCCCCCCCGCTTAGCCATGCCTGACCCCCACGGGCTCCTTGGAAGGTGGGACAACAGTCCCCTGCCTTGTTCCAGCCAGAGCGCTGGGCCCCAGTCATGCCTGGAACCAGGAGGCTGCTCTTCAGGGATAACAGGGTCAGACCCCCCTTAGAGACAGATCATAGCTGCTGGCGGAGAGGGGTCAGCCAGGCAGGGCGGGGCAGGGAGAATGCACCTGGGGTACAGCCACAGTTTGGGGTGCTGGGAACCAGAAGCCTAGTTTGGTAGCTGATTATTTCACCCAAGGATAATTGCTAATCGGGGTTTCCTAGGTGACTGAAGGCCTTCAAGCGCTCTCAGCACCGGGTCACTGTCAGCACCTGGAGACAAGGCCCAGTCTCTCCACCCTAGTTATGATCTGAGCTGCCCTCCACGGCACTTCTCAGAGGCGCAAGATTTGGGCTTCCTTTCCACATTTACACCAAACTCCCAGCGCCTCCAGAAAAGTGTTAGGACCCATAGGCCATTTGTGATAAGCTTGGGGGGAGGGGTGTGGCATAACAGCTAGCCCACGGCTTTGTAACGCAAGGCAGCCACCCCGCCGTGGGAATGAGCGCAGATACTCACAGTCAGTCCAAGGTCCCCTTTGGGTCCTGGCAGGCCCTGGGGAGCAGGAAGAGAGTGACCGTGAGCACACACTGCACACTTTTTACTAAGGAACAGGCCCAAGAGGCCACCCAAACTAGCTTGCCTGTCTTCCTGGGGCTCCGGGCTCGCCGATCTCGCCTTTGTCTCCTTTCTTCCCTGCGTCCCCTTGGCTGCCGGGCTCACCCTGATCAACACAGCAGAGACACAACAGTCATAGCAGAACTGGGACATGCTAACCCTGGTAAGAGCAACTCTAAAGCCGGAGTCCCAGTGGGCGGCCTCTCGGCCCGAGGGCCTCCTTCATGTGCCCAAGGCAACACCACACCACCATGGCTTCCAGGACGATTCATAGACACGGGAGCTGGGGCACCGGCCCCATGGATCAGATAGTGTCTCTGAGATGCCCTGGCCCAGGGCCCAGCCTGTGGGCAGGAGAGCTGATCTTATGGTCCTGCCCAGACAGGGATGAGGGCCTCTCTCCGTCTCTGTCTCCCTCTCTCCGTCTGCTTCTGTCTCTCTGTCTCTGTGTCTGCCTCTCCCTCCCCGCCATCCCTCTCTGTCTCTGTCTCTGTCTCTGTCTCCCCCCTCCCTCCTCCCACTCCCCTCTTTCCCAGGTTCTAACAGGCAGGATGGAGTTTGGAAGGAGCTTTGGCAGGGAGGCATCTCCAGATCAGGCCTGGGAGTTTTTCTAAAATGCAAAGAAAAAAGATCAGGAAAAGAAGCTACGGATCCAGTGACCGACACTTACCTTTTGGCCAGGCAGGCCAAGGCCCATGGTGCCCTTCTGCCCCTGAGGGCCTTGGGGGCCCTGCTCCCCCTGCAAGCACACAGCAAGAACAAGTTTTCTCCCCATTCTCTGAAGAGGC